TAATAGCATCTCAATAATACAAATTAACTTCAGTAAGACCCACTGTCAAGTGCTTAGTCTCAGAAACGGAAATTACCGACTGGGACGCTTGTCGATGTGCTTGTTGATGAGCCTGTTGTTGAACTGGTCGATGAGCCTGTTGATGAACTGGCCGATGAGCCTGTTGATAAACTGGTCGATGAGCCTGTTGATGAACTGGTCGATGAGCTTGTCGTTGAGCTTGCCGATGAACCATATAAATAAACTTCAGCATACTGTGTAGAACTATCATTAGCCAGTTGATCTGTCGCTATTACTCGATAACTCGTATATGCTGTACTCGTTGATATGCTCACAAATGATGCCAAGCTATTAGTGCTTGTATTTACAGTAATACCCGCTGTTCCGGAATATAATAGAATCCACGATGATCCCTGTGTCAACAAACTGCTGTTCGCATTACTTCCTTCAACTGTAATTGCGGTAGGATCTCGAGTTGGAAGTGCAGCTGTGAAAAATTGTATTCCGGTTAAATTGGTTGCGCCTTTCGACGGGCTGACATAAAATCCAGTACCAATACCACCCTTACCATTCGGTCCATTTCCGAAGACTACATAGTGGTCCGTTGTGATATTGTCAATTGCAATATCTGGTCCTTGACCGCTAAAATATGTGCATGGTGCATTTGAGGTAGCTGCGGTTGCAGCCTGACTGGAATTGCCGGCACTTGCGTTACATATGGGAAAAATTGGATCGCCTGGTAGAGTTATAATATAGCCGGACGGTGACACTAAAAATATAAATTTCTCCTCTTTAACCAACAGCAGAAATTTCTTTAACAATTATTTATTTTCATAAGAATGCTGACGAAAATATTTATTCACCGCATATATTTTATAGAGGTCGTGGAAGGACTACCGCCAAGCTTCAAAACATACTTATGAATAGTACTGAGTCTGCTCTTTCTAATAGCATCTCAATAATACAAATTAACTTCAGTAAGACCCACTGTCAAGTGCTTAGTCTCAGAAACGGAAATTACCGACTGGGACGCTTGTCGATGTGCTTGTTGATGAGCCTGTTGTTGAACTGG